AATCAATTAAAAAAAAAAAAAAAAAGAGGCAAGCTGATAAAATTGGTAGACTCGCACACATCCCTTTCTTCCCCCTCTTACGATCCCCCTCTCTTCTTCTTTTTCCCCTCTCTGTCTCTTTGATTAGGTCCACCCAACACACACCAAGCCTTAAAACGAGGGGATCACAATGGTTTGTTCCTATGACATCCTAGATCCATGATGGCGAACTTATGGCACGTGTGCCACAGGTGACACGTGTAGCCATATCAGTGGGCACGCCAGCTCAGCTCTGGTGCACATGTACATGCCAGCCACCTGATTTTCAGGCTTTTTGGGCCCACCAGAAGTAGGGAAACAGGCTATTTCCTGCCTCAGGAGGGCCTGGAGCGGGTGGGGAAGGCTGCTTTCGCCCTCCCCATATGCATAGAGAGGATCTGGAGCCAGGTGACAAAGAAAAATGGGCCTATCGGGCCATCGCATTTATTTATTTATTTATTTATTTTATTTTATTTTATTGAATTTCTATACCGCCCTACTCCCGAAGGACTCAGGGCGGTGAACAGCCAGGAGCGGGGGCGGGGGGGAAGGGCAGGTTGGATGCGCATGCACAGGGTGGGGCACATAGAATTATGGGTGTGGGCACGCGCGCACGTGTGAACCTCCCCCATGCCCCCCTTCCTGGCACGCGATGGCAAAAAGGATAGCCATCACTGTCCTAGATGCTCAACCTCTATGGAGATTCTCAGTCTATCCAGGTCACAGTTCTCATCGCAAAGGTGCTTTTTCAAGAGGCAGCTCGACTTGCTTGTTTTTTCTTTGTAAGACGTTTCACTTCTCATCCAAGAAGCTTCTTCAGCTCTGACTGGATGGTGGGGAATGGAAGGATTTATACACCTTGCGGACAGCTGGTCATTTGCATCCTTTTAGTGAGTGGATTTATCTGTGTCATCAGGTTGCAAATGGCCGTGGAGCCTTCTTGGAACAGCTGAAAGGACTGTATTGTAGACAGGAGATAGATGATGTCATATCCCTCCCCCTCTGTTGAGAGAGAGGGTTGTTCAATTTTGACACCCATGGCCTCTTTGACCCCTTTCAAACCAGTGATCCTCTCTATCCAAAATGTGGGATCTGCTGCCTTCAAAAGAGCGGTCTGTGTCTTTTTAATTGTAGATGGGACTGCGATATCTTGTCCCGATGGGTTTGTTCTATGTTTGTGCCATGCGCTTATGAAGTGGCTGTTTTGTTTCCCCCATCGCTTCTCATCCAAAAAGCTTCAGAAGTCAAGTCCAGTTGCCTCTCTCTTGAAAAAGCACCTTAGGGATCCCAGATGTTGAAACCCAATCATCCAGGTTAGTGCTTAAGAAGGCAATGGTAGTTTTTTTCCCCATCCATCCTGACGACCATTGCTGGGTTCCCCCCCAACACGTTGGAGCCCAAAGTAGCCATTCTGGCTTTTGTCAGATCTAGGTCCTCCACTCTTCCTTTCGCAACAGAATACCTTATGCCACCAGACTTGAAATTTTGGCCTTAGACAACTTAGAACTTCGCCATCTTCGGTCTGACCTAAGTGTAGTACATAAAATTATCTGCTACAATGTCCTACCTGTCCATGAATACTTCAGCTTCAACCACAATACAGGAACACACAATAGATACAAACTTAAGGTAAACCGCTCCAAACTCGACTGCAGAAAATAGGATTTCAGCAACAGAGTGGTCAACGCCTGGAATGCACTACCTGACTCTGTGGTTTCATCCCCAAACCCCCAAAAATTTTAACCTTAGATCAGGGCGGACTCCAAACTTGGAATCTTTAAGCCTTGTGGACTACAACTCCCAGAATTCCCCATTCTGGGAGTTGAAATCCACAAGGCTTAAAAAGTTTTCAAGTTTGGAGATCTCTGCCTTCAAACTGTCTACTGTTGAGCTCACTTTATTCCTTACAGGTCCGTAAGGGGCGTGCATAAGCGCACCAGCGTGCCTACCGTCCCTGTCCTAAGGTTCCCCTTTTATCCGTAACCATCCCATGTATTCATAATCATGTTTATTATACATTTCATGGTTTCAACCATCATGTTTATACTTTTATAGGTAATCTTATGTGCTTGGCAAAATAAATAAAATAAAAAATAAATAAAAGATATCGTGTCATGGCCTTGTCCAGTGGAGGGCTGCATTGCCTGCACCAGGGGTCTCCAACCTTGGCCCCTTTAAGCCTGGAGGACTTCAACTCCCAGAATTCCCTAGCCAGCAAAGGGGCCTCCAACCTTGGCCCCTTTAAGCCTGGAGGACTTCAACTCCCAGAATTCCCCAGCCAGCAAAGGGGTCTCCAACCTTGGCCCCTTTAAGCCTGGAGGACTTCAACTCCCAGAATCCCCCAGCCAGCTTTGCTGGCTGGGGGGGCATTCTGGGAGTTGAAGTCCTCCAGCCTTAAAGGGGCCAAGGTTGGAGACCCCTAGTCTGTACGGTTTCTATCCACCCCCGAATCCACCTGGATGCTCTTCCAGGGCCCACCGCCCCCATATCTGACTCTCCCCCCCCTTCCACGCCGCCTCACAATGGCCGCCTCCACCCCCACAACTTAACAGGCCCATCTCTCCGCTGCCTTGCTTGCTCCCGGAGCGGAAGCCGCCGCCAATCCCCATTGGAAGCCGCGCTACCGTGTCGGAGCTGCTCGCGGAGACCACATGTCGGATCTCGATCTCCGGCATGGCCCGCCACTTTCTGTCACCCGCCGCCGTCACCCGGTAGCAAAACTCCGCCAAGCGCCGGAAACGGGGCGCTCTATACCCTTCCTCTCCCGACGCTCGTCTCTATGATTCCCTTCCCACTTGTGTGCCCCGGGCGTCGCTCGGCGCGCAAACTCAAATCGACGTCTTTCCTAGAGCGAGCGGAGGGACTTGGGGGAAGCGGGAGGGAAATGAAACTCGTGGCGCATGCTCAGATTCGCGCCTTTCGATCGTGACGCTAGAGCGTCGAAGCGCGATCTTTCGCTTCTGCGCATGCGTTATTCCCCACCACCACCACCACCACCCGGCCTTTCTGCGCGGGTTAGATTTTTCAAAATTTGGACGTTTTTGAGACGCGCGGAACTTCAGTTCCCAGAATTCCTCAGCCAGCATAGTCTTTTTGAGGAATTCTGGGAATTTGAAGGCCACACAAAGTGTCCAAGTTTGGTGAAATCTCTAGTGTGGAGGGAGTAAAATACCTTAAGCTTATCTCTGAAAAGGCAAATTATAAAATTATAAAAAATGAATGAGCATGTCCCTTTTTATTTGTATCCATTTCATGTATTCATAATCATGGTTATATTTTTATTTGTAATCTTATATATGCTTGAACAAAAATATAAATAAAAATAAAGCATCAACAAAAGTAGCAATGCATTATTTTTCCTCTGGAAAAAATAATAATAATAGAGCAATGCTTCCCAACCTTGGCAACTTTTAAGATAGATGGACATCAACTCCTAGAATTGCCCAGCCAGCAGCAAAGATGGAAAGAAACTACCACGGGGACAGAAAATTGATTTATTATAATATGCTTCACCATCCTGATCCTGGCAATGTTGGATTTAAAAAGTGGTATTGGTTGCTTCAGAAGTTGGAATCTAACATATCTGAAGGTTGCCTGATTTGGAAAAGGATGATGGACACCATAGTTTTACATCAGCTGGTGTCAGTGTTTTAAAACCTGACCCTTCCCTCCCATTCCAAGTATCCAGACTAGATAGATTTAGCCAGAGTTGTGGGGCAGTACCCCCTAGAATAGTGTTTCTCAACCTTGGTAGCTTGAAGATGGGTGGACTGGCTGGGGGATTCTGGGAGTTGAAGACCACCCATCTTCAAGCTTCCAAGGTTGAGAAACACTGCCCTAGAAGAATCCAGGTGATAGCTTGGAAGTTCTAAATTTTTACATTCTTGATGTACCCAAGACTGCCTTTAAAATGGTTACAGCATAACAATCCATAACGTGGTTTGTTTTATTTGGGTTTAATATATTGGGTGAACCAGTTCACCCAATATATCATAATTTATAACTTAAAACGGATGCTGTGATCTCAAAATGTCCTAATATAGGGTTCATAATGTTTCTGAATTTTAGTTAATGCTGAGACCTTTGGGGCTTCGCAATCTTTCATTAGTGCTCAAATCTGAGAGGAGCATCCTATTTAATTGCCTGGTGTGGCTACAGGTAGTAATATTATTTCCTCTCCAAAACTGGTCCAGAAACACACATCTTTTTTCAGAAGTCAGTGTTACTTCTCTTCGGATTCACATACTCTTGGAATTTCTTTAGCTCCCAGTTCTCTCTAAGGAGAACTGAGTTTGTTCGAATCCCTATGTTAGCTGTTGAGCTGTTTCAGGGTTGATTAACAGCATAGTAAAGTTTTATATACCCAGAAGTCCTTTGTAGACTGCAACTCTACACCCCGTGCAAAAAGTGACGATCATACTGCGGTTATACTGGCCATTTCCAACTGGGAATAACCATAGCCACAACCCTAGAATTATCCAGTCATCAGGATGCAAAAGAGTGGCCAAAATCTTGAAAACTAAACCCTTCAAGGAAGGCTCTCAGCACCTGGAACTGCTGCTAAGAAGCCTGCTTGCCCCCAGATTCTCAATGAACCTCCACCCCCTTGTACATATACACAAACACACATTTTGTTACTCTTGGAAATAAAGGCAATCTGAAGAGGTTGTTCTGTATGATTGCAATCTTGGCATCCAGGTGGCTGTCCCCCCCCTCCTTCCCACTGCCAAGCTACAGTGAAAATTTAGATGACCGGGACTTGGTCCCAATGCAAATGGGGTCATTTGTTCTGGACAAAATGTGAAGTGGCTTTTAGATTTTAGATAAGGAAGCATTCCTCCTTGCTCTGGCTTTCTTTTTATATTCCATGAATTGAAACACAACACCTTAGCTCCCTCCCTTGCCAAGCACAAGAGACATTTTAGAAAATGAAGTTGGTTGTGCTCCTTTTGGCGAAGACACCTGGCACACAAAGGGGCCTCTTGAGGCCATCAGCAGACAAGGAAATCAGCTGTGAAGAGAACCAAGTGGGGCTGCGCAGGTTTTAAGTGCCTCTCAAGCCAATCGTGTTTACTCACTCCCTCACCCTTATGTAACTGGTCCAGTATATATTCCCCCGCTCAGGATGCTTCCACCTCAGAATCTACGGATCTGCAGATTATGGGATTCACCAACATGGCATCTTTGTCCAGCCTCAGCTTCCTTCTGGCCACACTCATAACTCAAGGTAAGTTTGCTTTGAGCTAGTTATGGACACTGCAGTCTTACAGCTAGAGTTAAAGGCAAGGTGGATGCATCCATTCTCGGAGATGTGCTTGTATCCTTGAACATTTTTACCTTGCTCTAGAGGCCATGGGTTAGAAGAGGGGGTCAACCTATTTTCCAAAGCACCAGAAGGCAAGACAAGAAACAATGGATGGAAACTAATCAAGGAGAGTTCAGTTCTCCTCCTAGAACTGAGGAGAAATTTCCTGTCAGTAAGAACAATTAACTCGTGGAATGGCTTGCCTTCAGAAGTGGGTGCTCCATCACTGGAGGCTTTTAAAACGAGACTGGACACTTGTCTAGAGTGGTATAGAATCTCTTGCTTGAGCAGGGAGTTGGACTAGAAGATCTCCAAGGTCCCTTCCAACTCTTTTATTCTGAGTGTGGACTCAAGAGGGGCTACCAAAGACAGACAATCTTATTTGATGAAGGCCAGGAACTGTAGTTGGATTTCCTACATCTTCTCATTCTGATGAAATTCTGACCTACGGTTTCTCCACACTGGTGTTTCTTAAAGTGTGGTCCAATGAACCCTGAGGGCTCCTCAAACTCATCTCGGGGGTCTCCAAAATCAAAATTAAATAGGGAAGATATTGACAAAAATTTAAAACAATGTCACTCTTTTCTTCTCTCTCTCTCTCTCTTTTTTGTTTAAAAATATCGTTTTTTTTCATGAAAAAATATTATTTATTTAAAATCTCATGGGTTTAAATATTGCTGCTTTTATATGCTTCAATAAATATTCTGAAAATGCATCAATTTTCATATGGTAAATATCAATAAAGGCAACCCATGCAAAACAAAAGCTCCTTGAGGGGAGGTCTTCATAATTTTTAAAACTGGAAAGAACACGAAGTTTAAGAAGTGCTACTCTGCACCATGAGATGTATTCAGTGAAGCCTAGTTTCTCCATCGTAGCTTATCGAATAAGCCACATCTCATCTGTGTTGTTTTCTCCAGGTTCCTGTTTGATCTGTGAGACCTGTCAAGATCCAGGCAAAGACTGCACTGGCTTGAGCCGCACCTGTGGAGAGACTGAAGATACCTGCCTTACCTTTGTAGGAATAAATTCCTTGTGTGAGTAATAGATAGACTTGCTTTGAACCAGCAGAGGGAGTTAAGAGATCTAAGTTCCCAGAAGAGCACGTAGAACAAACTATGGTTACTAAACTACTTTCAACTGGGCAACCTTATCACTAAAATGTTGGAGGTCTTCTCAATATGTTGATTGATTGATACATGTCTACTTACTAGTATAGTATGGACATTAGAGAAAATAATAAACTGTTTAACCATTATAAAACATGCCGCCCACCCTTTGGACCCTATGATACCCTTTGAAGATCCAGTTGGCCCCATTGAAGGGGTTGTTTGGCCTTCCATAAAGTCTTTGATACCTGGTTCTATCACCAAACTTTGCAAGGGGGGGGGGGGGTCAGGAGATTATATATTATCAATATATAATATTGTTAGCCACTCAGAGCAATTAACTTGAGATGGGCAGATCTGCTGGTCTAATGACCAAATAAAAATCAACCGATTGATTGACTGACTGAGATGGGAAGCCATTTCAATCAAATATGTAAATATTTCCCAAAATAGAATTTTTTTAAAAGGATGGAATAAATAAATTAACAATAGGTATGCTATTATTTTCTTCCTGTACCGTAACGGATAGTCTTGCACTCAACTGAAGAGGTTGTAAAAAAAATGCTTTTAAAAGCCTCTGACGATCCCAGCTGAGCCACGCGATCATCAGAGGCTTTTTTTTAACTTTTAAAAGCATTTTTTCGGCCAAAGAGGTTGTAGAAAAAATGCTTTTAAAAGTGAAAAAAAACGCCTGATGATTACGCGGCTCAGCTGGGCATGGGAGGGGCACAGGGGTTTTTGCTACCGGTTCTCCGAATCACCCGCTGCCATCACTAACGGATTGGGTGATCTGGTCCGAACTGAGAGCATTTCATCTCTGGCCTGGAGGCTTTATTTTTGCAGGTAGTGCATTCTGGAGCTCAGCTCTGCAGGGAATCAAAAGCTGAGTTAGGTTACACTCTGTACATGCTCCGATCCTTTCAGTACTTTCATTTATTTAATCAAACAAATTTTCAGCAAGGTGTTACCAAATTTAACCAAACCTCTCTTATCTACTTCTTCTTCACCAGGGTCTGAGAAAATCACCGAGACTATCAAAGTTTGCTCCGCTCGCAGCAATTGCCAGCCTGGACCGATCAGTGTCACCATCAACTCTGAGATCCATTTCCGGAGCGCCTCCAGCTGTTGCCAAGAAGACCTGTGCAACAAAAAAAAGTTAGATAGTAAGGAACCATTTGTTTTCTCCCCGACCAAAGTTCCTGAAGTTACTCAGGAACTTTGGAGGAGTTCCTTACTCCTCCAAATTTTCACTGGGGTTGCTTATTTCCATGTATTCTTTTTTTCTACCTAATTCGGCATACCCAGTTGGAGCAGTCAGCAGGCCCAACTCTGCTCAAAATTTAAGCCTTTTAAAAAATTAATTTTACATGGTTTATAAATCTTTCCAGTCAAAGCTGGCTCGTAGTGGCACACCAGCCCTGTCTCTGTAAACACCAGATTAAAACCAGAGGTGGGCTTCAAAAATTTTAGCAAAGGGGTTCTCTGACTGGTTGCTGGGTGAGCATGGCCATGATGGGTATGGCCTAGTTGGCCTCCTGTACCACGGTGGTGGTGGGGGGCTTTTTTGCCCTCTCCGAGCTCCGGAGGCTATCCTTAAGGTTCCGGGAGGGTGAAAACAGCCTCCCCAGGCTCTGGAGGCCCTCTGGAGGCCAGAAATTGGCCTGTTTCCAGCCTTTCTGAACTTCCAGTAGATCCGTTTTTTGCCCTCCCCAAGCCTCTACATGCGCCCTGCATTTACTTGCATCCAAAATGGGCCATGTGGGGACTCCTGGGAGGGGCGGAGGGGCGGGGCGAGGCGAGGCTAGCCAAGAGTGGGATTTGGGGGTTCTCGAACTGCACAGAATCTTAGCTAGAGGTTCTCCCGAACCCCTGCGAACCCCCAGCAGCCCACCTCTGATTAAAACAAGCCATGGACATAAAAAAATAAAACCATTTCATGCTACAATTCATAGGAAAGAGTATGAAGGAAACCAGGAACGCAAACACTCCACAGGCCAAAATTCAAACTTCCTTCCTCAAATTTCCTAACCTGCTAGCCATAGTTTTCTTAAAATTAAGAGGGAAGATCGAAGATTTAGATTCCCTCTCCAAGGGAACGTCCCCTTTTCAAACTGAACATCAGTTTCGCTGATGAACTGCAAGAAACACATGGAGAAGCATTTTTTAAAAAATGCATTTCAAAGGACCTCCCTCTTGATGAATTCACTATAAAGGAAGCTGAGAAATTCCACTTGCAATTTCCAAGATTCTGTATTTTCCCTAGAATAACAATCAGGATATTTAGTGGAAAACATCTGGAAGAACTTCTGCATTTTTAACAAAAGATATGAGTTCTTTTGCTGCCCTAGATTAATTCGGCTCTCCTCCAACACTGTCTGCTGAAACCTGTATTGCTCATATTTCCTTGATCTTACCTAGCTGAGTGGCTCATCTCAGTGTTTCTCCACCTTGACAACTTGAAGAACTGTGGACTTCAACTCCCAGAGTTCATAGGCATGCTGGCCGGGAAATTTATTTTATTTATTTTTTATTTATTTATTTATTTGTCAAGCATGTATTAGATATAAGAATAAACATGATTATGAATACATGAAATGGATACGAATAAAAGGGGACATTAGGACAGGGATGGTAGGCATGTTGGTGAGCTTATGCACGCCCCTTACAGACCTCTTAGGAATGGGGTGAGGTCAACAGTAGACAGTCTAAGGTTAAAGTTTTGGGGGTTTGGGGAAGAAACCACAGAGTCAGGTAGAGCATTCCAGGCACTGACCACTCTGTTGCTGAAGTCGTATTTTCTGCAATCGAGTTTGGAGCAGTTTACCTTAAGTTTGTGTCTGTTGTATGCTCGTGTATTATTGCAATTGAAGCTGAAGTAGTCATTGACAGGTAGGACATTGTAGCAGATAATTTTATGTACTACGCTTAAATCAGACCGAAGGCGATATAGTTCTAAGTTGTCTAAGCCCAAAATGTCAAGTCTGGTGGCATAAGGTATTTTATTGCAGGTAGAGGAATGGAGGACTCTTCTCATAAAATATCTCTGGACTCTCTCAATTGTATTAATGTCCGATCTGCAGTGCAGGTTCCAGACAGATGAGCTGTATTTGAGAATTGGGCTAGCAAATGCTTTTGTATGCTCTAGTTAGCAGTACAATAGTACCAGAGAAGTAGCTACGCAAGATTAGGTTAACAACTCTTAATGCCTTTTTGGCAATGTTTTTACAGTGGGCTCTGTCACTTAGATCATTAGAGATGAGTACTCCAAGGTCCTTGATAGAGTGAGGGTCGTCTACAAAGTCGCATCCATCCAGCTTGTATTTATGTTCTGATTTTTTTTGCCAATGTGTGAAAAATTCTAGGAGTTGAAGTCCATACATGCTAGCCAGGGGTGGGTTCTACTTACCTTTACAACTGGTTTGCAACGGGATCGTGTGAGCTCGCTCGCTCACTCACTTCGCTCGCGCGTGCATTTTGCTTCTGCGCATGCACAGATCGCTTCTGATGACATCAGAGTCAGTGGGCGGATAGAACCGGTTCAAACTGGGGGCAACCCACCACTGATGCTAGCTGGGGAATTCTGGGAATTGAAATCCACACATCTTTAAGCTGCCGAGGTTGAGAAACACTGTCTGTTATCACCTCTTTCTGGTGTTCTTTCTCCTACTTCTCTCTGCACCATCGTCCTCCAGAGAGTCTTTCTATGACCTCTTTTGGGGATTTTCAGTAAATTCTTCTTATGCGAAAAGCAAACAAGGAGAAATATCTTTTCTTATCTACTTCCCAGGGTCCGTTAGGTTCCTGGCAACTTCCTAGATAGTTATGTTAAGGCTTCTTTGTTAGGTTTTCTCCTGCCTCTTCTCATTTTTTCAAATCAAGGGTTGTTGGAACACCTGGCCTCGGTCAGGTCAGCTTCAGGGTTGACATCCAGCGCAATAAATCCATGCCTGCGAATGCTTTATTTATATATAGTGGTATATCATTAAGGGCTGCTGAACTAAGGCTTCAATATGGCATAATCTTTGTAGTGCCCCCTGAGAATACCACCCTCAATGGACTGACCTGCCCAACTTGCTTTGACCTTGGCTCGGATCAGTGTGAAGTAATTGAGTCTCTGAACTGCGTAGGAGAAGACAATCATTGTATAACCTCATCTGGAACCTTGATTGCTGGTAAGTTTTATTTGCATTTGCATTCTCATGTTGTGGGGTCAACACTGTCAGGATTCTGATGGATGCCCTAATTAAATCATGATTCTCAAGCCAAGCTTCAAAATAAACCCAGTTATTTATTAGGAGCTTCATGTCAGCACGTTCCCAAGTGAAGCCAGCTCTGACTCTATATAATTTACGCTCCAATTATGACCCTGTTTCCCCCCACCTCCCCCAGGGTGTGTCATTAATCACATTCACCAATGGAGCAATTTTGCGGGTTGTAGAGGTCACTCCCCTCGGCTGCTGTAGGTAACCCGGGGATACAGCCTTGAGAGAGATAAGCGTGGAATGTGCATCTGCCTTTGACTGCTATGCCATTTTGACAGTTTCCCTTCCCCACTGGCCTAGGGCAACTCGAGAGCAGGCCAGGGATGCTTTGCAAGTTGACAAAGAGCAGGTCACACATGTAGATGTCAAAAAGTGTCTTGTGTGAACCCAGTCAAAAGGCAGATTTATGGCCAGTATGTAAGATACTATCCTTGTAGGTTCCACAAAACAGCTGAGAGACTGTTCTTCAGAACATGAATAACAGAGTTGGAAGAGACCTTCAGTCCAACCCCCTGCTCAAGCAGCAAAACCCTATACCAGTGATGGCTAACCTTTTTGCCATCGCGTGCCAAAAGTGGGGGGAATGCGGGGGGATTGCGCGCGCGCCCATACCCATAGTTCAGTGCCCCCACACACACACCCCATGCATATGCACATGACCCCCCCCCCCCGCACTCCCCCCAGCTTTTGGCACGTGACGGCAAAAAGGTTACCGGTGGGCCTGGTAGGCCCATTTTTCACTCTCCCCAGGCTCCAGAGGCTTTCCTGGAGCCTGGGGAGGGTGAAAACAGCCCCCACTCTCCCGGAGGCCCTCCAGAAGCTGGAAACGGCTCGTTTCCCAACTTCCAGTGGGCCCGGAAGGCCCGAAAATCAGCTGGCCGGCACGCACCTGTGCGTTGGAGCTGAGCTAGGGCAATGCTTGCATGCCCACAGATATAGTTCCGCGTGCCACCTGTGGCACACGTGCCATTAGGTTCGCCATCATGGCCCTATACCATTTCAGACAAGTGCCTGTCCAGTGTCTTCTTAAAAACCTCCAGTGTTGGAGCATCTACAACTTCTGGAGGCAAGTTGTTCCACGGATTGTTTTCACTGTCAAGAAATTCCTCTTTAGTTCTAGATTGATTCTCTCCTTGATTAGTTTCCATCCGTTGCTTCTTGTCCTGTCTTCAGGTGCTTCGGAGAATAGGTTGACTCTCTCTTCTTTGTGGCAGCCCCTTAGATCAGGGGTCTCCAACCTTGGCAACTGTACGACGTGTGGACTTCAACTCCCAGAATTCCTCAGCCAGCGCATGCTGGCTGAGGAATTCTGGGAGTTGAAGTCCACACGTCGTACAGTTGCCAAGGTTGGAGACCCCTGCCTTAGATATTGGAAGACTGCTATCATGTCTCCCCCTAGTCCTTCTTTTCATCAAACTAGACTTACCCAATTCCTGCAACTGAACCATTTGGAGTGGATAGCAAAGGTAGGATACGAACAGGCAACCTGGCAGCTTTCTCCTTTCGGATGTCACAAGGAGCCCTTAACCAACTGAATTTTTGGTCCCCAGGAGGTGTTCCTATGATGTTCGCTTCCAGAGGCTGCGGCTCTGCCTCAGCGTGTGCCCTGCCCTTGGATACCGACATTTACTCTGCAGGACTCACTTTTCACCTCAAGAAAATTGGGTGCAGCCCAGCCGTGAAAGCCAACAGCACCTAGGGAGGCCCTGGTGATAAAGGCCTCTGAAGAATCCCCTCAGAAGATTTTCCCCCCTCACCGTCTTGCAACTTGGGAATGTGGTCCTGATAATTATCTCCTTTTACTGAATGTAATGAATAAACAGCATGAAAAAACAGCACAAATGTGTATTGATTTTTTTAAAAAAATCTCACTTTTTTAATTTTTCTAAAAAAAAACCTTTCAAAGCATACCTAATACTCCTTCCTCTTCTTAAAAATAGGATTCTCGTTTCCCTGATTATAAAAGGGAAGAGATTGGGGGATTGTATTCATATATTTATTTGCCTTTATTTATAGAACAAAACAGAACAAAGGAAAAAATAATAGAAAAAAATTAAAAAAGGAGCAAAACTACCAAAAAAATTACACAAATACATCACACACAGTATATAATTATTGTGCTTTTCCTCCCTTTTATGTAAATGTGTACATATAGGAGAAGCCTAGATACTGTATATGGCTTATCATAACTTATAATATCTATATAACGTTTTGTGTAACAATTTCATAGAGTCGGTAGTTGAGAGGGACCTCGGAGTTCTTCGTTCAATCCCCTGCCCAGAGCAGGACTCCTCATATAGGTTATCCTCATTTAGTGACTGCCTCATTTAGCAACTGTTCACAGTTACGACAGTAATAAAAAAAAAAGTAACTTTATGACTGGACCTCACATCTTCATAGGTTTATAAAGCAAAGGAAAGCTGAAATACAATCCTAAACACAGTTGTCTTTTCATTTAGCACCTGTTTTACTTAAGATTGAATTGCCGGTCCATTTGTGGTCACTAAATGAGGACTACCTATACCATTCTGGACAAATGACTATTTCTGAACATTTCTTGAAAGTCTTCAATTATTTCAAATGAAGAAAAGCACTTTCTTCATTTCATTGAGGCCATGCTTAATCAACAAGCAACTGTTTCGAAAGCCCTAATAATATTGTTATCTTTCATCCTGAAGGGGACATAAATATATCTTTCCAATGTTTAATTAGTCTCTTAGCAATAAGAACAGTACAGTCTGTTGTGCAAGCATCAGTTTCCATGTATTGGTTATGAAGCTGAAGAAAATACAGGTGTACAAAAGTATTAAGCCAGGGTTATCCAATTTTAACACCTGTGGACTTCAACTCCCAGAATTCCCCAGCCATGTCCATAAGTCTTAAAGTTGCCAATGTTGGACATTTCTGTATTAAACCTTGTCTCAAAGTCAAATTAATTAATATATGCAATTGCTTCTTCTCAGAACCTCAGGATCTGGAAAGGCATACATTTTAATGAAGTATTATTCTCATTTATCTAATACACTGTTTCCCAAACTTGGCAAATTTAAGACTCCTGGACTTCAACTCCCAAAACTCCTCAGCTAGCATGCTTGTTAGCTAATCTATGGTATAATATACCAGTGTTTCTCAACCTTAGCAACTCTTAGCAAGGTGTGATGCTGGCTGGGGAATTCTGGAAGTTGAAGATTACAATGTCTTAAAAAGTTGCCAAATGTTAAACACTGGTCAAAAATTAAGAGCCGTTCAACGAATGACCCAGATCAGTGGTGAAATCTAAAATTTGTTACTACCGGTTCTGTGGGCGTGGCTTGGTGGGGTGGGATGTGACTGGGTGGGCGTGGCCAATTTTTTTTTAACTTTTGAAACAATTTTTTCTACAACCTCTTTGGCGAAGAGGTTGTAAAAAAATACTTTCAAAAGGCTCTGACGATCCCAGCTGAGTTGCCTGATCGTCAGAGGCTTTTTTTTTTTTTAAATGCCTCTGCCGATCAGGCAACTCAGCTTGGATTGTCAGCCAGATCGTCAGCTTGGATGTCAGCTTGGATCGTTAAACTCAGCTTGATGATCAGGCAACTCAGCTTGGATCGTCAAAAGCTGAGTTGCCTGATCATCAGAGGCTTTTTTTTCTTTTAAATGCCTCTGACGATCCAACCTGAGTTGCCTGATCGGCAGAGGCTTTTTAAAAGCCTCTGTCAATCAGGCAACTCAGCTTGGATCGTAGAGGCATTTAAAAGAAAAAAAGCCTCTGATGATCATGGGGCTCAGCTGGGCATGGGGGCACCCAGGGATTTTTGCTACCGGTTCTCCAAACTACCCACCTCCATCACTACTGGATCAGGCGATCCGGTCTGAACTGGGAGCATTTCACCCCAGATACACAAAGATGTCACAGCAGAATTTAGCTTCCTGCTCAACTACGTTGCTTTAGAAAAGCCACAAAATTCTTTTTCATAACCACAAAGCTGGCACCTTTGCATGACCCTCATTGTCCTGTACAATAAACAGGTGTATTCCTTGCCAAAAGGCAGGAGGTACATTGTTTGTAGGTACACATTTAATTCTTTCTCTTCCTTGAAAAAGGAAGAAGGAATTTCCTATACCCAATGGAGCTTCATTGAGAATGCATGAGGATTGGGCCTCAGGCTGGATGGGGCGGATGGACAATCCAATAGGTCGAAAGATGAACTAAAAAATTTCATTTTGTTCGGGGGAAAAAGTGGATGGTCCAGATGGATATGTCCCATCTCCATTTGTACCCTTAATATCTTTTACCCATAGCCCAAAAATTCATTGGAGAAAAATTTACCCAAGCATTTTCACCCAATATAAACTCAGGAAAAGGCTCACCCACGGCCCAGGGATGTGAGGCATAGCAAGAGACATCAAAGGCAAGAAGGTAGCTCCAGTGGCATGATCAGAGTCCCACTTTTTATACAGTATATGTCATGGATTTGCACCCTCCAAGAAGGGCAGATGGAATGCCGGTGGCAGCAAGCCGTCCATTCTGCACCCCTATCCTAGCAGCCCCATTTATGTTTCTTGTTAACATTCATTTTAGGCTTTCTCACAAGAATGTTAGGGGAACTAATTCCTGACTCAATGTATTGTGTGAATCCATATATGGGTAACCAGTGAAGTGTGTTGGGCAGACACCGTCCATAGCAAATCTTTTCAGAGGGAGGGAGGGAGGGAGGGAGGGAGGGAGAGTGGTGGGTGAGTGTTGTGACCCAGGCCCACATAGTTAGTATTAAATACAAAACAGTTCCAAAAAACAAACAGAATTTATTTAAACAGCTGAGAATTAACTCATTCTCAGCGTATTCCATATTAAATAAAAGCAAAGTCCTCAAAACACCATTCTTCAGTTTATCTCTGACCTTGGGATAATTAGGCAAATTGCCAAAGGCTTTTCTTGGCAACAGTTCAGGAACAGAAGACGCTGACAAGAAAGAAATACATCCAAACACAAAGCAAATCTCTCAACGGTTGTTTTCCGGCAAAGAGGCTAAGAGCCGTTGCTGGTCTTGTAAGCCTACCATAAGCCTCCCAATCATCTCTTGGCCCTACTCCCGAGTCATCCTCTCTGCTTTAGCTGCTCCTGCCTTCTGGCAGCTCATCTCATACGTGCACTAGGAACAGGCTCCTCCTGTTCCTCTGCCTCTCTACTGTCAGCCTCTGGTGGCTCCAAAGTCCACAGATCACTCCCCGATGGCCCTGGCCCCATCTCTGCCTCTGACGCAGAGTCCTCATCCAGGCCTTCCCCAGCCTCCAGGACTGGCCCATGTTCTTCCTCAGTCTCATTGCTGTCCGACTCCTCTGGCAGCTCCGCAGGCAGCTGGCAGACCACAACAGTGGGTAAGGAAGGAAGGAAGGAAGGAAGGAAGGAAGGAAGGAAGGAAGGAAGGAAGGAAGGAAGGAAGGAAGGAAGGGTTACAAATTACCCAATCAAGGTTAATCACATCATGCCAAATGCTTTTAGGAAAAAGTCAACAGCCATAATCCTAACCTCTTTTTCACAACTCTTGTAACACAGTAATCTAATACATGTTGGTCAGCTGAGCGCATGGTAGAGACCAGTGTTTCCAGTTACACACCCCTGCATCATTGTGTGTCTTTGCTTCAGTTAACAATTGCGGGTGAGGGAAATTATTTTGACCAGCAAGTGGGTAAACACCTTGTGTTTGATTTCCACAAAATCTGGCCAAGTCTAAAGTCCAATTTTAAAAAAAGGAATTAATGGGGCAAATATTTACGTATTCTGTATGTCCAAGGAAACAGAGATTTGATTTCCTTCATGCAACGAGCAGGATATTACTGTCCCAAGAAATCCCCTGTTGCACTGTTTCTCAACTTTGGCTGCTTTAAGATGCGTGGAAATCCACACCTCTTAAAGTGTCCAAGATTGAGAAACATTGCTCTATTGTATGCCTCTTGGGGAAAAAAATATAAATGAGAGGCCTTGGATTTGCAAGATGGAAACAGAAGCAGAAGCTGGGACAAGTAACGGGAGCTCACCCTGTTATGCAGCACTAGGGATTCAAACCCCTGAACTGCTGACCTTTCGATCGACAAGCTCAGTGTCTTAGCCACTGAGCCACCGCGTCATATATACATACACATACACATACATATACATATACATATACATATACATATACATATACATATACATATACATATACATATATATATACATGTATATATACATGTATATGTATATGTATATGTATATGTCTTTGGTTATTCGGGTCTTCTCCCACGTAAAATTGGAAGTGTCTTGGCGACGTTTCGACGAAGTCTCATTTGTCATCTTCAGGCTGGTTTTCTCGGCTTCGTGCTTCCAGGAGCAAAGCACGAAGCTGAGAACACCAGCCTGAAGATGACGAATGAGACTTTGTCGAAACGTCGCCAAGACACTTCCAATTTTACGTGGGAGAAGACCCGAATAACCAAAGACCTACATACAAACACCCGCGAAAACCTGAGAATGAATATATATATATATATATACATACATAAATACATACATACATACATACATACATACATACATACATACATACATACAGTCCTTTTGGAGTGGGGTGGAGATTTTACAAAGCCGCATTCACATTTGATGCTTTTTCCATCCAGTTTTGATAGCCCAATCAGGAGTTGCGGGCAGGGTTAAAAAAAAAGCGAGTGAATGCCTCTTTGAGAGTGGCTTATCCCAGCCTGTGAAATGGGGCCAAAGTTCCTTCTTATCTCTTCCTTCCCTGGAGAAACGGCTGCAGAAGCTTTCCCATGGTGGCCTCCAGCATTATTCACCTACATCGTGCTTAATGCATGAGAC